TCTTTCACACTTCTTAAAACCTGGAGTGACAGCAGTTTCCCTCTTGATGGAAAAAAATATATATAACAAAGCAGCCTTTGTTTTCCTTAGTTCTGTCTGTATTTGTGGAACGGAAATTGAGAACAGTTTCCGTTACTACATTTTATTTTTCCCATGTTCCTTTCATAGCTTTGAGGTATTTAAGAACCTCAAATTATATCTCCCTTTCCATGGCTTGTGATAGTAAAGGAATGTGCAAGAAAGTCCTGTCTGCCCATGTCTGCATGGACAGAGGCATTTCTTTTGTATCTGTTTAACTGGTGAGAGAAGTTTTAACATGAACTATTTCTCTCGCAGATGCTCGTGAATTCAATAGACTGCAGAAAATCAATGTCACACATAAGCAAGGTATGTACCATCCAGAGCATCTAGGCTGACATCCACCAGCTTTTGTATTTTTCTTCAGTCTGTTGTTTCATGGTAAAAGTGTTTCCCTGTATAATTCCAAGAACAGGTGTAGCATCTCAGTAGGGTAGTCTCTGTACTGAAAATGAGCAAGGGCCTGTTCTCTGAACTTGAGAACAGCTGTTTATAGCAGGCTTTCACTCTCCTGCCTTAAGTTTTACCACCCAAGCGGGTCTCATGCATATTGCCTGCTGGGCACTGTACCTGGCCTGTACAAAACCGTGCAGCGCTTTTTTGGAAATAGTGCAAACCAAAGCAGTGTAGGGGACACAACAGTGGCATAATATGAGTAATCATATGCCTGTGCTCGATCCCATACCTTTGCCTTGTTTTTACTAGTGTAGACAGTAGTACTATCACTGGGCTAAGAGTATATTCCAAGTCAGCTTAAATGTGGCTTGCTTGTAGATGAGACCCAAGCTGAACTTTGGTTTCTGTGTGTCCAGGGTTCTCCATGTCTCCTTCTGCCTCCTGAGGAGGACAGGTCATTTCTGCAGGGGATTGAGTCCAAAGTCTAGCATGACTGCACGCCCTGATGTTCCTTTTTCGTCCTTGCGTGTCGGGTTTATGGGCAGGTAGCAGCTCACCTTGGCAATGACAATTTGAGTAACTGGCAAGCGGGCAGTGGGGACCTGAGAGCCACTGCTCTGGCCATGGATTCCCTCTGCTGTGGAGCTTGTGCTCTTCTGTTATGAGCAGAAAATGTTGCTACTCTGGGAACATACTGCTTGGGCTAGAGCACCCCTCCCTTTCTTTGCCAGCTCACTGTGTGGACTTGCCTGATACTGGACAGTGCACCGAGAGCATCCCCCGCTGGTACTATAACCCATTCTCTGAGAAATGTGACCCCTTCACCTACGGAGGCTGTGGTGGCAACAACAACAACTTTGAAGAAGAGGAAGAGTGCATGAAATCATGTACAGGAATCACAAGTAAGCAGACATGGCGAGGGCTGGAGTTTTACTGATCAAACTATGAAAATCACTCCAGATTAAATTCTGTGGACCCAAAGAGATGGCAACTTGGGAGTTTTCAGTGAAAGCAGCTCTGCTTTCAAACCCTGTCCATGCCGCACAGTGTTTTTCAACATGACCGATGGCTTATGGGGAACGGTGTGCGTCTACAGCATCTTTCTGCAATGCAGTCTGTCATTTCTCAGAGATGGAAAACATTTTAGGTGCTGATGTTGAAAAAGGGACAGAGGAGGATGACAAAACTAACCAGAGATATGGTATGGCCTCTTTAAAGAGAATCTAACTTTCTAGCTTGGCTCCAGTTCTCCCCAAGTGCAAGGGGAGAAATTAAGAAAATCCTCAATGACACATATTAGACAGAATTTTTAAACAAACAAGAGGGAAGGTTTTACACTGTAGAACTTTGTACGTGTTGCTGTGGAGGCCAACAGCTGAAACAGGAGGAATTCTGCCAAACTGCACCCTCAGCTACACTGTGCCTCACAGCCTGCCCTGAGAGCTCAGTACTGTGGCTGTCAAGAGGGATGCTGTATGCATTCAGTCACTTCAGAGCACTGCAAATATACTCCTCAGAAACGTATCTTATCCCTTGTTCACACCTTTCTTTGTAAAACTTTTTTTTTCCCTCTCTGCTCCCAATTCAGAAGCAGATGTCATTGGCCGGAGATGGGAATCATTTGAGTCCCAAAGTGCTATCTTAAGTGAGTAACAGTTTTTCCTACAGATCTTGCTTGTTGCTTTCACCCTGTCCTGAAAAATATTTTGTCTTTCTCTGCAAATAATAGCCTTCTTTCCCAACCCCCTTTTGAAGCTGAGGGAGCAATGTGGGATTTGTGGGATGCTAGCAGTGGCAAGCACTGTGTGTCTGTGGTCCAATTTCTCCTTTGTCTGTGACTCAGTAGCTCATATCAGAGACTTCTGATTTTCCTTCCATCAACTTGCATAAACGCTTCACTGTTCAACATCAAAAATTGGCAAGTATAATTCTTCCTAAGGGCCAAATTCACATAAAGAACAATAACTTCTGCAAGAAGGAAGGCCCAAATAGGTATGTGAATAATGTTGGGTGCCAGGCTGTGGGGAAATCTGATGACCATATATACTCTCTCTACAACTGTTAAGAACACCAAAGCTATTGAATTACAAGTTCTTAAAAGAATATCACGTTAAGGTTGGTGTCCTTTCACCACAGAGCTGTGAGGCCTCTTTTTTCAGTAGAAAACTCCTGAAATTATACGCTTCTATTCTTCAACCCTAGAGATTGATTTAATCTTCAAATTCACACCAGCTCTCAAATGCATCATGTTTGATTGTCTCCACTGATGATGCAGGAGTTTGGTTGGCTGTTGAAGATCAAGCGCTCACAGCACTGCTACAAGCTCTTTCCCCACAAACTCAGCCTATCCACCATAGGTCACTCCGATAGCGTTATGCAAGACAGGAGGCACCTTCTGCGACCACCCTTGGTGGCCTCCCTGTTGACATAAGAAGCAAGGCCAGTGTTGTAGTAGGGCTTCATATTCATAGGGGTGTGAAATGTCCAAGCCTGACGAAGTCACCAAATAGCCTTTAGAGGGCGTGGTGAATCTGGGAAATGACGGGAACCGTAATTTAGGAGAAACAGGCTGACTATACCCTGACCATACATTATGCCATGCAGTTGGTTGCCTTCTTTCTTTTGTGCCCAGTTGTGCAGTGACCACTCCGCTGTCAGGCCAGCTATTGCCCACCTCTTCTCTTTGCCAGCACATCTTCTGCAGCGGCTTTTGTGCTTGCTTCTCCCTGACTGCTCCTGCTGCATCAGAGCTCATGGAGCAGCCCTTCTACCGTGTTCGTGTATCCTCCACAGGTGCCTTTGAGGTAGTGCTTGCCGTGCTCCTGGGGATCTGCATCATGGTGGTCCTGGCAATCATCGGCTACTTCTTCCTGAAGAACTGGAAGAAGAACAGCCGCCGCCACCAGCCAACCACTGCTACCAACTCAACCCTCTCCACCACAGAGGACACTGAGCATCTGTTTTACAGCAGTACCACCAAACCAGTCTGACCTACAGCCTCTCGCTCTCCACTGCAGCACTGGGGCACTCTCCAAAACTTCTGGTGTTCTGTTTTTAGACACTGGCCTGTGCCTGAAGGACTCTTTCTCTTTGAAGACATTTGTAGCATCAGGCCAAGATCTAGCCATGATTTGGCAGTACTAGTGTTTGTGTTTGTCTTGGCTAAATGGCTGCTCTGGAAAGTGAGGATCTGGAAGCATAGATGTCTATCCCTTTCTAACCTCAAACAATCCAGTGAAACTCTGAATTACATCTTTCTTCCTGCTCAAACCTAGAGCACAGCTCCACTCAACTTATTGAAGGACCCTGGGACTGGATCCGTGTAGCATTCACGTTAGTGAATCATGCAAGCTCACCAGAGCCAGCAATTTTTTGTTTGCAGTGCCACTTTCTTCCACCCAATCTCATATTTTCCTCCTTTTCCTCCAGTCCTCTGCAAGGTGGCCCTGCCTCCCAGTAGTCCTCCTGGTCATGGTGAGCCTCTTGAGGGCTGTGAGATTCATGTAACTGTTCAGACCTGTTCCAAGGGCTCTGTGACACGCTCCAGTAGTTCCCATTTTCAAGATGGAAGGAAACAGAAATACCTGCTTTGATCACTACAGTTTGCTTTTTAACAGAAAAGCACACCTAGATTTTTTTCTGCCTCGCTGCCATGTTGCAGCCTTCTGTGTACAGTACGTGTCCGCCATTTTCTCTCTGTGAGTTGTCCTGGTTGCTTTTCCAGTGTTCAGTCTGAACCCAAACACATTGAGAAAATGTCTATTTATTCTCATATGAAAGGAAAGGAAATGTCCCTACTTTTCC